AATCTTAAAGCGTTCGAGGAATTATTAGCAACTGATGAAAAAATATCATTTACCGAAAAAGTAGAAGCTAATGAAATGATAAATGTAAGTAATAACAACGTGTGGAATTCAAATAATTTTTTATAATTTTTTAAACATTTCTCCTTATAGCAATTACATGACCAATGTAAAAACATTCAAGCGAAGATAAGACCATATATTGCTGCTGTCACAGATGAAAGTCTTCTTGGTATGATTTCAACAAACATTATATATAATTTTAGAAAATTTTGTTTCTTATCCTAAATTTTTTTTTTCTTGTATTCAGAGGAACTGTTAACATTAAATGATAATTTATCAAATGCATTCCAAAAATATGAAAAAATTTACAATAATCACGAGATTTTCCAAAATCCAAAACCGATTACATCAGTGGCGGACATTACTACCGAATCAAATGACGACGATCACGATAATATTATTACTACTATTGAAACTTCTCCAATAACTATAGTTACATCGCCAACTTCACCATCTGTAACGTCACCAACTTTTTCAATCGGTGATTCTGACGATGATGGTGATTTCGATAATATAGCTTTATCTGAAGGAAGTTTATCATCAAAGAAAATTCCACCTTCATTAAAAATTGAATCGCTTTTGGCTTCTGATATTGACATACATAGTCAAAAAAGTCCTAAAAGTCCACTCGAAGAAATGAATAAATTATTGGAAGTTGAAGAAGGTCAAGTATTAAGAAAGGCGAGAGAAGTATTTGAACAGGATATTGAAGAAACGGAATCCAGTCCTTTAGATCAATTAAGTGGTGAAGAATTGAAACTACAGGTAAAATTATTAAATTATTATTATTATTCAAATTAATATTATATATTAAGTTTTTTTTATAATTGATAGCTATTGGATGAACCAAATTTATCTTAAAAGTTTAAAATTACCAAAAGAAAAAAAAAATTAATTTAATATAATGGTTTAATTAACTACATTAGTGATAATTTTTTTGAAATAGCATAATATTTTTAATATCTTGTAGATTATTTCTGTCAATTTAATAATTTATGTAATTTTAGAGGATTTTTTTTTTTATCCACTCAATAATAATAGGCAAGTATTAAAAGTTTATTAAGCTTAGAAAAATTTGAATTATCAATGATTCAAATTTTAAACTTAAACAGCTTATGATTACTGAAAAATAAAATACTCCTTACTTTAGTTTGTAATTGATATTACTTACCATTATTATTACACTCTCCACATATATTTAACTAATTTTATCATTTATATACAAATTTCCATCAAAAAAGAAAAAAAAAAGGAAAAAAGAAAAAAAGAAAAAAAAGACTAATTTCTCAGTAATGTATAATATATATAATAAATATAATATAATATATATATATATTATTTCTTTTATAAACAAAAATTCATAATTCTTACTCACGCAAATGTCTTTTAAGCATCCAAAGAAATAAATTTGTCCAAGCCCGTCCAAATAAAATAATGCATATAAACTACACTTAAAGCTTTAAATTGCAAATTTATGTAATATAACTTGAATATATATTAATTTCTTACCAATTATTTACAAATTGATATATTTCCAATACCAATTTTCAACATAAAGACGAATTTTCGGAATTACTGTCCAATCCTTCTAATTATTATATTAGTAAAATAAATAATGATGAAATATTGAAAATTAGAACAATAGAAAATTCCTTCGCCACGAGGAGTTTATGAATTCGTACCTCTACGTCTATCAGTTCAGTGTCATGTTTTCTCCGTAATAAACAATAATCTCCCCATTTCAGGTTTCCTAACGTGTTGAATGTCACGCTATTATTAGTTAGCCTAGCAGGTAAATAACTAATAAATTGCTTCAGTTTTTGCCAAGCAATTGGTGGCAGATAGAATGCTCTTGTAATTGAATTAGAGTTTTCTGCATCTAAAAATGGTCTACAAATAACTTCACTCCATTGATCAGTTTGAGTTATATAGCTTTCTTCATGGGCATTATCTGATACTGTCCTTGTATAATCCATTTCCAGATCGATAATATAATCACACTGCGTTACATTGAACTTAAAAAGCAATTCGATTTAATTTAAATTAAATTAGGAGAAAAAAAAAAAAGATGTAACTTACATATCGATCCACTTCTTCTAAATTGTAATTATTAAATCCTTCTTGAATTGTCCAAGTTCCTTCACGCTCAGCACTCAATTTCGTTTTGTTGTTAGAATCAACATAAGTTCTTTCTAAAAAATATTTTGGTAATTGTCTGTTGAAATCGGATTTTAAAAATCTCAAACGCACTCCTTCCGGTAAAAAGTAATGGCTCGGAAATCGGTACCATTCCTTTCCTATGCAGAGATTAATTGGATTATTTAATAAATCCACTTGTAACTGGCGAGCTGCAATTTGACTAGGAATCTCAACATAATAAAAATGTTTATAAATAGTCATTGGTGCACCATAGTGAAAATATAAAGCAGCGATGTGCGCGAATGAAATTGTTCCACAAATGACAATAATAAAAGTTGTAAGCAATTTCATGCAATATCTTCGAGCGCGCTTATTAAAACAAATAAAATAAACAAATTTAATAATTTGTTACAACCTTTAAATAATATATTTAAGTTACTTACTGAATAAGGTAAATGTCCATCGGATAAAAACACTAATGTTCGATCAAACCATCCTCTTATTAAAAACAATGCAACTGCTGAGTTTAGACAAATAAGAGGATATATTACAAACAAAAACCGTTCTTCCTTGAGCGGTTGTATAATAATTATAAAAAGCCATAAATAAAATGGCATAAGTCGAAAGGCGAGATAAAGATAAGCATATATTGGTCCAGCTGTCGATGTGGATGAAATACGTCCAGGATCGACTATATAAGTAAGAATCTGCACAAATAAAAGGTTATGTAAAGGTTTAAAACTAATCCTTTCTAAATGAAACAAATTCTTCTTCTCTATAGACTTACTAAACCCGGTATGCTTATAAGAGCCATAAAAAACAAAAAATTAAAGTTCAGAAAGCCATTCAAAATATAAAAGTGCCATGGTTCAGTAGCATAACTGTCAGGACTTTTGTCTTTTCCGCCAA